TTGTTTGTTTTGTTTTGCAAATCTCATAATTATTTGTTGAAAACTAGACATATTACATAATGTATTGTGGCAGCTCTGGAGGTCAGATTTCTCCCATCTAGCATTTGTGGTTGTTACTCTTTATTGTTGTTGCTATTTATTTGCTTAGTGACTTTCTTGAGCAAATTCTGTACTTTGTCGGCTTTATTATATGTAGCCACTGAAGCCTCTGCTTAGTTACCTTAGTGGTCAGCTCATGACTGTACAGAGGTTTCCTTATGTTTGGAACTGGCAAGTCTCCTGGCCTTGGCCGATGGGCTGTGTGTGCATGGGCTCCGTGTCAGTGCTCAAGTAGGCAGGGCACAACCTGGTAGTAGCTTTACTTTATGTTTGAGCAAAGCTTCACGGTCGACCTGAATTTCCCAGTACAGCCATCGGGCCTATTTGGGTTATCCATATCTTCTTCAGTGAACTTTGGGTTTTTGTGTCTTTTTTTTTTTTTTTTAGAGTGGGGTCGACGGGAATGGGACAGAGGGAGAGGGAGAATCCCAAGTAGGTGCCATACCCAGTGTGGAGCCTGATATGGGGCTCAGTCTCACAACCCTGAGATCATGACCTGAGCTGAAATCAAGAATCAGATGCATAACTGATTGAGCCACCCAGGTGCCCCTGGTTTTTGTGTCTTTCAAGAATTTTTTCTGTTTCATTCAAGTTGTTCCATTTCTGGACATAAAGTTATTGGTGTTATTCCCTATTATTCCACTAATATCTCTGTAATTTGTACTGATGTCACCTTTCTTACTGTTGACAATGGGAAGTTGTGTTTTCTTTCTTCTAGCCTGATTTCCTGATTAGTCTAGCTAGAAGTTTATCAATGTTATTGATCTTCTCAAAGAATCAGCTTGTTTCTTGATTATTCTCTCATTTTTCTGAGTTTTGTTTAATTGATTTCTTCTTTGATCTTTATTGTTTTCATTCTGCTTACTTTGGTTTTAAATTTGCTCTTCTTGTCTTACTCTCTCCAGGTGGAAGCTGAAGTCTCACATCCTTCTTCTCTAATCGGTGTTCAGTGCTATAAATTTGCTCCTAAATACTGCTTTCGTGGCATCCCACAAATCGTACATTGTATTTTTATTTTGATACAACTCAAAATTCTTTCTCATTTCCCTTTTTATTTCTATTTTTTCTTTGAGCCATGGATTATTTAGAAACTTGTTATTTAGTTTCTAAATATTTTGGAATTTTTCTAGAGGTTTTTCTATTATTTATCTCTGATTTAATTATCTTGTGGTCAGAGGACATACATTGTGTGATTTGAATCTTTTTGAATGTATTGAAAGTTCTTTTATGGCTAAGAATATAGTGTTCCTTGGTGAATGTTGCTTGTGCACTTGAAAAGAATGTGCATCTGCTGTTGCTGGGTGAGGTGATCTATAGATGTCAATCCAGGCAAGCTATGTGGTAGCATTGTGCAAATCACCTCTGTCCTTGTTGATTTTCTGTCTAGTTGTACATCATTTACTGAGGATGAAGTATTGGAATCCCTAACTACAATTGTAATTTTTTTAGTGGCCACGAAGCCTGGCCCAGAACCTTTCGCTTAAGTGCTCTGGGATCATTGTATCCCCTGAAGTAGGGATTATGTCTCATAATTCTTTTGATCCCAGTCAATAGTAGTGACTATTTAGTAAAAAATGATGTTGTCAATGTGAGAACTATTTGTTATATGTACTTACTGACTAGTTGAATATGAAGGTTATATTTAGATGAGATGCCTTTTCAGTGAAAACATACAAGCATTTGTATTTTATTTGATGTGTTTTACTTGGAAAAGAATTATAATATAAAAATTAATCTGTGTGCCACAAAATGACTCTGTAGGTTAGTCATGAATTCAGTTTAATTCAGTCAAAATGCCATTGAACTTTACTTTGACTAGGCAACCACAGTAGACTTTCAATGCAGGTTATATTAGGAAAAAAGTCTTTAAAAATTTGAAATAAACTCTTATTTGTCACCTAATATGTGCCATTTCTGTTAATCTTGGGGCATTAAATGTTTGATTTTCTTTTCCTAAGGTGGCTTGTATATCATTTGGATAACTTACATGATTTTTTTTTCTCCTAGAGCCATAAACATTCTAAGTGTATACGGCCGTTTCTGCCTTACTTCAATGTGTCACATCAGTTTGCTACCTTTGTTCTTAAAGGTTCTTTTGTAAGTAAATATGTGGGACTTTTATTTTGGTTTTCATTTGAGAAGTTACATATTTTGTCACAGACTAGCAGTTTATAAGTGAAGTCTTCTATTAGGAGCTATAAAGTATTTGCATATAAAGGGATATAGGCACTGGTGTCTTCTACATGCTGACTGGTCTTAGTCAAACAGTACAGAAGCCACCAGGAGGCAAAACTGCGTGGCTAAAACTCTCCTGGGCTTTGAAGAACACTTAACAAAAGTCAGTTTGTAACAAAGGTGTTCTTGTTGGTAGAAGAAGCATCAGATATGTAGTCTAGGGAACTTTCAAGCATTTATCTTTTCAGTACTCTGTACAGAAAAACCAACAACATAAAAAGACACCAGATTCTTGCTGTTTCTACCTATTGTTAGTTTTTTTTTTTTAAAGATTTTATTTATTTATTTGAGAGAGAGAGAGAATGAGAGAGAGCACATGAGAGGGGGGAGGGTCAGAG